AATTAAAAGCAATGTCGGCTTATTTACCAAATTATTTATAGTAATGTAATTTTAATGTTCTTATGTTTCATCTTGGCCACTTTATTTCGACGTTTATTTGAAAATATTTTAGATATAATATTATAATTATATAATAAATATTTCAAAATATTTATTTTGCAAGTTGAGTTCTAACATTTTTAAAATGTTCTGTGAAACTAATTTTGCTATCTGGGTTGGATATAACAAAAATATTTAATTTAATTAAAATATGCATCCGTCTTTTAATACTTTTTAAAGCAATCGATTTAATTTATTAACAGTTTTTTTATTTATATAGTGTAGTACAGTGCATCTCAATGACTTGTAGAATATTCGGCATTCGCACATAATAAGTTAAATTTGAGATAGCTTATTAACTGATGATAATGTCAACAGACAAAAATTATTGTTAACGTTTATTAATGTAAGTGAAATAAACATGTATATTATTCAATCTTGCAGTTAATTGTATGTTTATAAATTGTGTACATAGTTAGATGCTATAAGCTTATGTATTATTTTAAAGTTAAAATTGATTTTAGCTGTTTGTAATCAAATCATATATTCTATACTAATGATTTCATAATTATGATTGGCTGTGAGTCAATTTTTTGTTCACAGTGGTTCTAAAATTACAGTATATTTGCATACATTATTATTCAGAATACTTAATGATTACAATTTCATTAAACTTAATTTTCTATAGTTTTTATTATATTTAATATAGTGATTGGTGAATTATAAATAATTAGTTTATAAATATTTTTATTACAACACATTATTTATAATTTATATATTTATCATTTATCCATTTTTTTTGATTATATAGTCGTAATAGTAATAATAATAATCTATCAACATTGTTTAATTTAGATTTCAGTAATAATTTAAAGTGTATATGAATAAATAAATTAAATTAAATGTATAATATCTAATTTTCAACCTTTTTTTTTCATATACGTATAATTTATAATTAAATCAATGTCACCTTATAACTAGATATTCCATTTTTATAAATTCTTGAATATAACTTATAATTAATGATAAAAATGTTATGTCAACAACTTTACTGTAATATTTTCTAATTCATAATATATAATATTTATCTAATAAATTTTAATACACATAATATATGTTTAATAAATATAATAAGTATGAATAATGTAATTGATTCACATAAGTTATTAATTTTGGCGCATATGTAAAATATGTCTTTACATTTAACTGCTTTGATTTATTTGAGCTGATTTTGTAGATTCTCGTGGTTCTCGAGGTCTTGTAAAAAATGAAATGATATCGATTGGTAGTGGAAATACGATTGTAGAATTCTTCTCAGCTGATATCGTATTTAAAGTCTAAAAAATAAAATAGTAAACAAATGACATATGAATATATAATATCTATTAATTATGTTGTTATTTTTTCTAAATAATTCAGACATTAAGATATTAATACATTAATTAAATGTAATTCAAAATTTTTTATAGATATATAATGTTAAATGTATATTATATATCTATATTATAATCCTAACCTAATAAGGATTAAAAAAAAATACAACAATAAAAATAACTTAATAATTAGAGGATTTAGGTAAATATACAATACATGATGTTCAAATATCAAATGATTATCAATTTTGATGTTATAAAAACAAAATAAAATACCACAATGTAATCTATATTATTTAAAATAAAAACTGAAAATGTCCTTAAAATTTAAAAGTCAACGTTTTTAAAGAATTATCAACATACAATATAGCAGTGATATGTTATAATTTAATTATACAGCCAAATTTTACACCAAAAAGTCACATGAATCTTAAATCCCTGCGACTAATGTTTTTGAATTATATCATAATAATAGACATAATCTACTTAATATATAATTTCGCCTAAATTTTAACTTCAAAGACATATATTAAAAAAAAATGTATGTGGAATCTTGTACTACATTTTCAAGAATTTTAATTAAACGAATAATTTTTTATTTGCATTTACCTATAGAAAAAAAAAATCAAAAATTTCTCATGTTTAAAAATAATTTAAAAAGTTAAAATATCTTAAAAATTATAATATATATAGAAAATAATAATATAAAAATTTAATCTAAATATCAAATATTTACAGTTTTCCTTGTTGAATTACAATAAAATATCAAAAATCGATTGAGGAAGATAGTTTTTTTACGTGTGAATATCCAATATTGTAAAAGTTTAAACTTTAAACGCTTACAAAGATGAATGTGATTTTTCGACGATAAGCTTTTTTTTATTTTAAATTAAAAACTAATATGAAGTCTTATATTGCTTTATTATAATACTAAATATGAGAAAAATATTTAATTTATATCAATTTATAAAATAATTTGAATATTTTCGTAAATTTTGTCATAATTCTAAATTCAAATACTTTTAGAATAATATTGTGATTATGCATTTTCTTTATTTCTTTTTTTAATTGATAAAAGAACAAATTTTTATTATTTGTTTTTCCCAATTATTTTAAAAAATACTGGAGGTTTTTAATTTTGGCATTTTTATAAATTATCTAAATAGATTCAATTTTCTATCAGAAATCAACTTCAAAGAATTTTTTTAACTACTATTTGTATATACATAGTACATTCACACAAAAAAAAAATAATATCATTGTAATATAAAAATATTAATCGTTTCGCTCAGAGCCTAAATCTTTAATTATGTTCATAGCTTTATTTAAAAGATTTTTCTTGGATTATTATTAAAGAACACTTTAAGATTTCTATCAATCATAATTTTATTTTTGCAATTAATTTTAAATACAATTAATTTTGTTATTAATATAAAATTAAATTAAATCATACTTGTAGGTATCTGAGTTGTAAAGCAGCCGGAGAATCACTTATAACTTCTGATGCTTCACGAAGAGCTCTCGATGCCTTTTGTTCACCTTCAGCTGCGATAACCTTAGCGCGGGCTTCTCGGGCCGCCTCAGCTTCCGCCGCCATTGCCCTCTGCAATTGAACTGGTAATCTCACGTCCTTACTGTAATTTTTTTCATGTGTACATATAAGTAGCGGCATACACAATAATTATATAAAATAAATGAAAAACATTATCTGTCAAAAGTCAAAAATAGAAACTCACATTTCCACTCGTTCTACTTTGATACCCCACGACTCGGTAGCTTCGTCCAACGACACTTGCATGGTTTTAGATATGGCGTCTCGGTCGCTGAGAATTTCGTGCAACGGCCTGGTACCTAAGACGTTTCTCAATGTGGTTTGGGCTAATAACCGAGTAGATTGATGAGCGTTGGCAACGTTGGCTACCGATATCGTAGCGTTACATACACGGTAATAGACCACGGCGTCCACAGACACAGTCACGCTATCTTTGGTCAATACCTAAATATATGCAATAGGTGATGTTTATTATTTCGTAAATAATATATTATTAATTTCATAACATACAATGATAAATATCAATAAAAACCTACTAGATATCTACACTATAGATAAAATCCATACTTCTAAATTTAATAATAGATTAATTAACTTAATCACTTTAATAGTTACTAAAGCTAAAAATACAAAATTAGTTCTATTAAACACAACTTTTGTATGTTGTACATTAATAAGACAAAAAAATATACACATTGTGATATCCTCTTAATACAAAGAATGGTATTTAAAAAATGATTATTTTAATTTTTAATTATAGTTTAGCATTTAACCAATTATTTTAATTAAGAAAAAAATAGACTAAAGTCTAAAGTTTAATACGTACTAAATACTGTCAAAGAATTAATAAAATTATATTTTAAAGGCTTAAAATATCGAAATGAAAATTTTTTGATTACCTAAGTACTTCAATTCCTTGAGCTTAAATTATATGTTTGAAACTACTTGTTTATAACAACGCTTACAATATTCACTGACATGTACCTACTTATATTTGTGGGCGACCAAGTAGGTAAAAACATCATTTAATTTCAAATTACTTTTTTAATTAACTTTTTATTATTGAAAACCCAAGAGTACTTCACCACTACACAATAGCCTTTACTCTATATAGTAATACAGACAATATAATAGCTAAAATAGAAATAATATGTACATTTATGATATATCGATAATATTTAGGTATTGTCGACGTCATTGTAGACCTTTTATAATATATTCTAATAATATTTTAAATTATACGATACCTCTTGTGGTGGCACGTCGTACGTGCGTGTTCTTAAATCAACACGCGCGTAATTGTCAATACATGGTAAAATGAAGAATATACCTAGAAAGAAAAATACCGCTCATTCATCGTAAATATTTTAGCGTATTTATAAATATGTAAACTCACCCGGCCCTTTCGCTCCGCCTGATACCAAACGTCCCAAGCGAAATATTACGGCTCGTTCGTACTCCTGAACTACCTGTCGGTGCGCAGAAATAACAAAATAAATATATTATTTATATTGTACAATAGAGTGCCGGGGATACAGGGATTTATGTAAACATAAGATCCAACTGCTATATTCACTAACTTTGAAACAGACGAACAGAGAAAACGGGAACGTGATGACAACAAGTGCCCAAGCACATATCGTCATAAATTTACCGCTTACACCTGGGTCGGTTGGCGCGCTATCTTCAGCTAAAAGGTAAAATGGATAAAATTATTATTGAAATCGTTATAGTATAACCGATGACAGATATGACAAGCCCCCTCTATCTAAATAAAAGCAAATTAAAAAAAAACACACGTTTCAATAAATCGATTGAAAACGAGAAACGTAGGTATTCTTTCGTGCGCAAGTAAATTATATGGCTCCTATAGGTATATATATAATGTACCTATTATATCTACCAACCGATTGTATAAATTATTATATAATATTAACGATATTTATATAAAATTATACGTCAATGGAAAATAGTCCAAATTATTGAAATTAAAAGTTCAAAAATATGATTAAATTATCGAGTAAAGAATTTATTGACATACAATAAAAATCAAACCTATATAACTCTCCTAATGTTAATTTACACCATGTGTTACAACACGATAAATTTTTAATGAAAAAGTTGGTACATATAATACCTATTCTAGTTTTAATGTAAAATGGAAACCTAAAAATAATAATATGAGGTATGAAAAGTATATCTAGTAGTATATTTATTTTTATATTTTTTTTTTTTTATGAAATATTTATTCAAATTCAATCAAATGCAAAATGTTTTAACTACCATAGTTCCAACAACTATCATATATTAATGTTCTTAGTCTATATTTTAATTATATAGTAATAAATATATTGATTTTACTGTAATGTGTGTCATGAAAAAACTGGGAATTTTTGTACAAACCTAGTTTTTGGCAGAATAAATGTTCTTGTTTAAATTCAAAAATAGATAACTGTATAAATACTTAAATTATTCACAAACTGTTTATATTAGTATTTTCTATACACAGAATAATTTTAAAAATATTTTGAACTATTTAGGTATAAGAATGTAAAAATGTCTAACTTGATCTATTAAAAGGTATACTTGACCTACTGTATATACTTTGTACTCTGCAGTACAGCAAAGCTGTTACCTATACTTCCCTATTTTTTTTTTTTTTTTTAATTAAAATTTGTACTTCATTATTTGTTATTATATGCTATAAAATAGTTGTTAATAAAGTGTAATACGTATAAAAAGTAAAACATTAATTCATACTTCACAGAATAAAGAATTTCCGTTTATTATTATTTTCTGTTTATTAAAGAAAAGTTGACATGAACTTAAAAATGTACAGATTAAAATTCCTAATTAAATATATTATTTTATTATTAACATAGTTGTTTGATACAAAAAATTTAATTTAAAAATGACGAGAAACAATCAAAAATTAATTGGCCCATGGGGGGATCGAACCCACGACCTTCGCGTTATTAGCACGACGCTCTAACCAACTGAGCTAATGGGCCACATGTATGGTTTTCAAATATTATTAGATTCTGAGCGGAGAAATGAATGTTTTACTTATTGGTATAATAAAGTTTTTCTTTAATTTATCTTATAAATGTTCATCATATATTTACAATAATATTTTTTCTATTATTATTTTTTCTATTTTTTTCTTTCAATAAAATGTTTTTCTAGACTTGAAATAATTTTAAAAATGTTTTGTGCAAAATATAGACATTTAAAATTTTTTACATAGTTTTTTTTTTCAATTTGTGTATGATAATATTTTCGTTTTTGAGTAAAAATCTTGAAAATGTTTTACAGGTGATGTGCTTACCTTAAATAAAAAAATGAAAAGACACAGTTTATTTTTTATAAGCGTTTATAGTTCAAATATTTGCGACATTCTTTGAAATTTCGATAATTTATAAATTATTTTATAGTTAAAATCATTTTATTTTTGATTTTAACACCAAAGATTTGACAATTCAATAGGTACATAATCTCTTATAAGTTTTTTTTACCAGGAATTAAAATAAAATCCATTTTGAGTTCACTTATAAAGCGCTACTAATACAACACAATTGAATTTGTTTCAAAATAAAGATCGACAGACCTTTGCTCTGAATTTTTTTCATCGTATTGATAGTAGGTATATTTGTATTCTATTTATAATGATTTAACATTGAATATTGAATTTAAATTTAACACATTCATTACAGTTACGTGCCTACTCACTCAACTACGAGGTACCTTAACATCTACTACACAGAAGAGCGAGTTCGCGAATTTTTCAATAATTTTTTTCTTTTCTGTTAGGTATCTATATCAGCCGGAGGCCGAGGCTATAATATGAATACGTTAGAATATTAAGAAATGGTAAACAATTAATTACGATTTTTTGGAAACTAAAATAAACATAATTGAAAATCAAAAATTTGTCTTTGAAAATTGTGTTTACGACTGCGTATACTAAGCACTTAAAATACTATTCAAATATATCTATATTAATATTGATATGACTAAATTATTTTATTAAGCCGCACTGTATGTACACTGTTTGGTAATAAACTTAAATATTTGACCTGTAGTCTATAATACGATACCTAATCAGTAGGTATACACTATACTCGTACATATTTCAACGAACCCGAATGAGATATCCTAACGCAGTTAGGCCTGTAACCACGTGACGTACGAGTACATTAGGTATTATACATTTATACTATAGAGTCTATAGTATAGACTATAATAGATCTATGTAATTTATTATTCACTGCATTGGTTTACAGACATTTCTAGCATAGGCGACAATGGTATCTATTGTCTCATATTGTTTCACCTTACACGATATAAAATAATATTAACATTACAAAAATTCATGTTCAAATAAATCGAATGAAATACTGTTAAGATGATACGGTACATCGAATATAATGAAGGACAGTTCTTCTGCATACTAATATTTATTATTACAAGTTTCAACCTTGGCATCAATTTAAATATAATTAAATATACAGGGTGGTTCATCGAGCATGCTCACCCCCATTTTATCATTTAATAATAAATTTATCCAAATTATGATTTTTGTTGTTCTTAAATAATATACTTAAAAACCATATATTCAAATTCTTAATACTTTCTATACTACTTATGGAGTTTCCTGTAACAATATAAATTTCTGTTTTTTTTAAAATTAAAGTCCCCCTTTTTACCGTAAATTATTTAAACGATCACTTCTGCTTTTATTTTTATGTAAGTACCTAGTTTAAAATTTGAATATTGAAGAAAAAAGAGGCGAACATGTTTTGTGAATCATCCTGTAGATACAAATACAAAGAAGTCAAGATGGTGAAACTAATAGATTTTATTGCGCTCAATTAAATTCAAACCTAGAATAACAAGAATAAATTTTATTAGAATAAAAATTGTGTTTTTGATGTTATTTATATAACCAACATTTTTATAACTTCATATTCAAAATAAAATTTCATATCATATATAGACACATACTCGTATGTAATATATAATTACAAAAAATATATTTTTATATAATATATTATAGTCATAGTATTTGAAACTTTAAAAGCCCAATATAATATTTAATCTTAAAAGCTAATAATCAGTTAAACAAATATTAAAAACAAAATTACATAACTGACTCTGCTATATACCTATATAGTAGGTATATTTTGATAGTGACCCTAGAAATGAAATATTTAACTATAATATTGATGTCTTAAATTTAATTAAAAAAATTGTATTTACAAGAAAAACGATTTCTAGCGTCCAACAGTCTATAATGATAATTTTATTATGTTAAATGTATGAGCATTGTTTCATTATAAAATAGCACATTTTTAAATTCAGTATTTTTGCCAACATATCATTATCATATAAAAGTCAGTATAAGTACCTACCTACCGTAGAATTACGTGAATACATTAGTGTTATAAATATAGCTCAAAATAAGTTTAAATATTTTAAAAATGTCTTTACATGAAAAGTAAATGATATTATGTCCATCAACATAAATTGAAAAAAATGTGTAAACATCATTTTTAATTTTGGCCCTTCAAAGTGGATCTAATACCAAAAACCCTCAAAGTTAAAGATTGAAGAAATTTTTGTGCTCCAAACAATGATAACATACACAATAAAATAAAAACACACGTCTTTGTAAAACTAATACATAGATATGAGGTCTATAAGAATTTGAAATGTTTGTATTTATAAATTATATACTATACATTAGCTCAGTAGTGTTACTACTGATAGTGCTTGAGGAACAAGGAATGAACAAAAAAACATTGTGAGAGGGATGATGCAACCTGTAACCTCCCTAGTTGCTCCAATGTGTAATTAATATCTCATTTTCCCCGTAACCATTAGTTACGACTCACGATATGTTGCGTGTCGTGTATCCCGATTCACCTGTTACAAGTTTCATTATTTATTTATACCTAATAAATAAATAAGCTATTTTTTTAAGTAATTTTTAAATTCTTATATCCATTGACATACTTGTGAGTTATGACCAAAAATTAATTAATTAAATTTTTAATTGTTTCTACTGCTTAATGGTAATTTGATTCTTAATAGTAGAAAAAACTTAGTCCGCATGAACTTTGTTTATTAACATCGGAAAATTGAAATAATGTCCCTAGTCAATAAAATTATTACAAGTAGGGATAATAATATGTGTTCATACCTTGTTTCAACCGTATACAGTATAAATACGATACAAACTATATTAAAAAATTACACTGTATAAGTACTTATTTCACAACTATAGAAAAATAAAATTAATAACACCAATGGCATGTAATATTTTTGTTACAAATGTGCCAAAATAAAAAAAAATTAAAAATTAAAATTCACACATTAATAATTTTATATTTTCAACAATTTTTAACTCTGAAAGACTGATAATATTGAGTAGGTAAAAATTAAATAATGTTTCCGTTGAAATGTTGGTGAGTAAAGTTTAATCGGGACTTATCAGGACTCGGTAAGGGTATAAGCAAACTGTTATCTTAAAATTATCTTTAAAATATAAAATTATTAAACAATTTTTGGAGGTATTTTTGCGGGTGCATGTAAATTCCGCCCGAAATTGGCAAATTCCACCCAAAATGAACTACAGGTAAAAAAAGATACATATAAATTCCGCCTGAAAATAAAAATATAATAGTAAAAATATTAATATTTATAATAATAAAAGAATCAAAATATGTTTTGATTGTCATCTGATACGATTGTTCAGTGTACGTAAAATTGAAACTCCCAAAGTTCCAAATACTATATAACATGTCGCGTAGCGAACAATACGGTCGCGTCAACGCGTCGTAGAGTCACGGAAAGCTTAGTTTAAAAATATTTATTTTCCTGACGGAATTTACAAATAAATTTTTGTACCTGTATTTTTTTTTTCGGGCGGAATTTACCATAGATCTTATTTTTACCTGTTCATTTCGGGCGGTATTTACAACCGCCCTATTTTTACTATCAAAATTTAAATCTAACCCAAAATTATTTGTCCTGTTTTTTTTTTATTTTATAAATATGGTAACCATGATCTACAGGTCACTATTGACGCTGACAGTTCAGCGACCTGTTAAAAAAAAAACTTTAAACAGACTAATATTTTGGGGAGTACAGTAGGTACGATTGCATTTCAGCAAAAGAAATACGCTACCCACACTAATATTGGACATTTAAGTACCTACCAGCTTCCGTACATTAAAAATATTAGTATTTTTGTTCGGAACAATGATATAGCAAATTAAATGACCAACGCTTGTCATCATTTAGTATAAGCGTGGCCGCGGTTCAATGCGTTTCACACCAAATTAATGGTTTATTAAAATAAATTATACTCAAAATTTAATTTAAAATATTATGAAAAAAAAAAGAAAAAAAATGAGTAATAAAACATACATAATTCTTTTGTTTATTCTAATTTAATGTTAACACACGAAAAAAAGATTATACTCAATTTTCCGTTTAATTAATTAACATGGTCCTTCAAAACAATCAAAACTGAAACAAAGTTATTAGACACTATACAAAGAATGTTTGCGATTCGTTGAAATTAAAAAAAATGTGAGTATTTGTGCGTGTAAGCAGTGTGGTTTAAGAACTACAACAATACGAGGTAAGATCAAATTTAATACATAATATCAGGTTTCCGGGGTTTCCCGCTATAATGAAATCTCCTGTCGATAGTCACGATATCATTTCTGTAAATTGTCAGTTACCACCTACACATCTACACATAAACTGTAAACCAGAAGATTTAATGAACAAATTCCTATATAATAATTAATAATGAACGATCAAACGATAGCAATAATAGTAGTAATACTAAGTCAACGAGGTGTAATGATTTGTAATAAAAGTGAATACTTACCTATAGGCTATAATAATCAATAATTATATGCATGCCGACTAATATTACAATAAATAATAATATATAATAAAAAATAAAGTCACAAATGTGCCTTAACTGACAAAATCAATAACTATAATGAATATTGGTATCAGTGGTGGCACAAAATATTATACTTCATGAGCTCTATTAGATTTTATAGCTAAATCCGAATTGCATGCCAAAATAAAAAAATATCTGAATTACATGCTACTCATAGTCGCAACTAAAGTAAAAATTCTGGGGGTTTATAGCCCCAAACAAATTTATTTATTTCCATTTGAAATTTTATATCATATTATTAATTTATAATAAAAAAACAAATACAAATAATTGTTATTCTATATACATATTATAATATTCATCGGTTTTTTAATTTATTATATTTTTCCAGTATGTTATTATTATTTATATTATTGGACATATTGTCTCTCTAAATATTTATAATGGCCAAATTTAAAAATCTATTTTGCACCATTGATGTTCTTAACTAATTTTTAATACGTGGCATCTTCTATTATCTACCCATTTAGTAAAATATTTACTCGGATATAAAAATATTTTAATTTTGAAACTAATCAGTTTCTATTCATGCGTTGTTTTAAAAAAAAAAATAGAAAAATCATTAATAAAGTATGAATTGTGTACTTACGTAAGTACACGATAAATAAAAATAAGCTTGTGGATACATTAGCATACAATTCGGACAAATTTCTCTAAGAGATAGCATGCAATTCGGACAAATCCTAAGAGTAGGCATACAAATGAACATCCAAATTTATGTTTATTTTTTGACGTGCAATTCGGATACATCGGCTTTCATTCATCACCTCTTCAACCTATGGCAAATTAAAAAAGAGTAGGTAGCCTGTAGTTAAAGATCCGAGCCTCCTTCTTTCAATTGTACATTTATGAATTATTATGATCTATGAATATTTATATAGTTTATTACCTACACTATTCTGCTATACACTACCTATTACTAATACTTTTCTAGTACTCCATACCATTATACGAATAACCACCTACCTACCGACTTGAGTCCCATTTGAACTCAAATAACTACCTCTGCGACTCCACTGATTAGTATAAATAATGATAAAAAAAAAAATCAATAAATAAAATAATTTAGATAAAATATCATAATATTTAATTGATAAAAATTCTGAGGTTTAAATTTATTTTATTTTTGGTAGATATTCTAATTTTTTGGTTTTTATATTTATAAAATTGAATATTACTGTACCTAATTGTATTTATTTAGCAAATAGAATTTAATTTTTATTGTGGAATGATTCACAGACAGACAGCCCATATTCATAATAGAAAAAATTCAATCATTTTTGTTGAAACCCAAACTTAAATCTGTCCCATTTTTTTTTACTTTTTTCGTTAATAACTATTATTTTAAATGCTATGTACCTATAGTATATAAGTATAAACGTGTTATTTACGATAACGGTTGTACTAGCAAAATTAAAGATATTGAATTGGTGGTGTTCAGTAAGATAATCAACTAATCTTTAGGTGATAATGATTCAACAAATCAATCTCTAAGGAAAATACTGTCTGAAAAGAAATATTTTTTAACATTACAGACATTTTTATAATCGTTAGTATACGTAGATACAAGTCGTAAAACTATCAATATATTAACTAATTATAGGAATATTATGGGAGACAATTTGGGTTAACTATTAGGGTGTAGGTACTGAGCTGTTGCCTTTGAAAACACAGAGAAAAAATTCGAAATAGGTAGTAAAAGTTGCCTATATCTAGGTTTGGGAAGCAATTTGAGCGCCCTGATTAATCTATTACAACCATACTGATTTTAATTTCTAAGCAACTATATACCTATTTAGGTTATAAATGTACCTATAGAAAGTTTTAATAGTTACCTATAGGAAAAATGGTAGGTATTGATAATTCATCGTAAAAATAAGAAATTTATTTATTTATTTTCAATGTAGGAACATATTTTTTGCCTATTTATTTGAGCATTAAATAAATTACATAGACAACAGTAATTTTACTTCTTCAATCATAAAAAACAAAAGCTCTTTACATCAGATCACCGCCTGCAAATTGACAACTTAAACAATACCAACTACACTATTATTAAAAGTATTTAAATTTATTATTCAATCAATGTGTAATAATATCGACTACTATCAAATAATTAAAATGAGTGAATAAATGTTCTGCACCTGATATCCATCAAATTCATGATTGATAAATAAAACTACTGATCTACTTAATTAAAATACTGACCTCCGATTATGCGATGCCTTTGATCCACGGTTCTGGACGTGTCGACATGATTGGTCAAGTCGATGACTTCAGTTGAGTCAGCATTTTGCATGTTTGCGACTACGTATGACGTGTAGGTATATGTAGGTATAGGTACCTACATAAAATATAGCAGTTCTCAGTCGGCGGTCTCCTTGCGTCTGATTCGGAGGGACTCGCAACGGCGCGATAACTACATACACGACGCGGCGGCGAAATAGCAAACAACAAACTGAAAATTGATCCGCTTACTTTATTATACAAAAAACGACTCCTAAATTTCAAACGGTAATTTGACGGTGACAGGAACGCTCTGTCTATCTGCATACACCATATTAATATATTTATAGTAGGTATACATTGCTTACTAAATGTATATAAACACATTTATATAATATATACCCACCTCCTACTTTGTTGTGTCTTATTATTATTAATATAAGGATAATGTAATATTTATAGTTATCTTCGCGTGACCCAATACAATAGGTAAGTATAAAGGGTATAAATTCAAACTTTCTGTTCCAGATATCGAACATCTAAAATATTTAAAAACTTAACCTATTGGCCGTGGTGGGTGGGTTTGGGAAAGAATGTTTAGGAACGTCTTTTCGTTCGTATACAATTTTAATGAGATTAAACCGTAAAATCGATTCGAATAGAGCAATAGACTACCCACATTATAAATATTAATATTATGGAACGGTGCGCCGAGGTGGACGCTATGTGAAAAAGAATAGGTAGGTAAGTAGGTAGTAGGTATCGTCGTATCGATCTAAAGAGACTGACACTACTTCATACTTCATAATAACCCGTCAAATCGTATGCCCAAATGAAAAATGTTTATTTATTCATACTTATCATATTACTGTATATTAACGAAACTAGGTGATGGTATAATATGCTGGTTAAGACCCAATTAGATAATTGGTTTCTAATAATTCAATTTATCTATGTCCATACATTTTTGTTTAAACTTAAGTACCCATTCATATTTATTACTTATAATTACACGATTTTGTGTAAATGTATGTATGTGTATATATAATAGGTAAACATGGTGATAAAAGAAAAATTTATATACGTCATTGTTAAAAATACAAAACAGCGGTATCTACCTACACACAGTAAGTGGTGGACAAGCTGAACTGCAGAAGTATTATTTTTTTTTATAGTTAGTCTGCTCTCTGTAAATATTCAGGTTATTCCATTCGTTCTGCCTATGATATATAAACAATACTTACTTATTTACACGTTAGGTATTTAGGTAGTAATTTATTAAATGTAAATTAATTAAAATCCCTTCAAAATATGGAAATTGTTTTTAATTAAGTACATTATTATGTATAAATATAAATTTTTGACCAGAAAATGAATATGCCGTCCGCGGGTGATGGAGCCATGGAGGTGAGATATTCAGCAATTACACTCTGCATGAATCTTCTAACATGCTTCACATGAACACAGAAAATGACCTTACTGTCAAGCATAGAACACTAAAATATAATAAATCTAATTACTTTTTAAATATGTTTATTTTCTATACGTGCCTACTATTCAAAAAAAAAAAAAAATACATGTAGAAAAAATTTTATAGTAGATTTTGATTGTTCATTTTTATTTTAAATAGTTATTAATTTTTTCAATTATGTCGGATGTTGCAGAATATAAAAAAAAACTAAGAGGCGCAAAATTTAAAAATTTGCCCAAGCAAAAGAAAGATTAAATCAAGAACTGCATTTTCATCTGTATGAAGTTGGAAAATTATTTTAAAGTTAAATCAATGCTAAGTATACTCTATAAATAACTACAAATATAGGAGTTACTTACTATTTATTAGTTAATGAAATATAAATATTCCATTTTCCAGTAGTATTAAAAAATAAGAATCATTGTTTCAAATAGATGATTACTAATTAGATAAAAAGAACATTTTTACGAAGCTATATTTGTATACAATGTAAATGTCAAATGACTAATCGAAATATCGAACATAACGAGAAAATTTTTTTTATATTGTTTATATTTTCATACAAATATACTAAAGGCGCGGAAAAACTTTGCCTTCCCATATATTAACCTTTGATGCACCCCTACGTAGGTTTTATAAAAGTATTTTCTCAAGTCCAAAAGAAGTATGGAATCTATGTATTGATTGAAACCTAATTACCTATGATATGTCTAAATATTTAGAAATTTCATTGTGTATAGAAATATAATATTAATATACTTAAATATCTAACCATATTGTAACAAACATTAAAGAATTTTAAGTTCCTACTATTAATAAGTATGTAAACGATTACAAAACATTTAACTAAAATGTTATTTTTCATTGATATTATATCTAATTCTGTTAAAAAGGATAATACAGTTACTACAGACGTTCAAAAATAGTAATCTAAATATAAGCATTTTTCTTTAAATTTTAAGTACAAATGAAAAATCTCGTTTTTAAACTCAACAATTAAATCATAATTTTTTATTTAATCACTGTAAAATTAACAATTTATGATGAATTTTTTATTCAATTCTAAAACTTAGCTAAGAAATAACGTTATTGATTAGTATAAATAAAAAATGTCAAATTTCGATCGTTTATAAGTACTTAATTAAAATATTTAAAAAATTATATTATGAATGAAAAGTGCTCATATTAATGATTGATAAGAATTTAAATTACATGTTTCATACTTTCATGTGTGAAACATGTAGGTATGTTTTGATTTACCACAAAATAATAAAAATTTGGTCAAAAACTGGTATTACATAAATAAAAATGAAATTTTAATACTAAGTATAAAGGTCAGTATATTTAAAAAATGTTGAAATGGAAAACTGCTTTGAAAACTTGAAAAGAAAAGTTAAGAACTGAAATAAATCACCTTGGTATTTATACACCAAATTATGAGAAAATATAAATATAATTGGTAAATACCTATTTTTAAGATTAGATCAAGTTTTTTTGATACACCAATTTCAAAAACTTTCAGTATGATATTGTTAATTGTTAATTTTTAAATATTTTCTTAATTCATTAATATAAAGTTTAATTTTTGTTTTTTAAAAAATATAAAAAGCCAATTCCATAATAGAAACAATAAATAGACACAATGTATAAATCTATTACAATAATTGTAAATACCAATTTCAAGCACAAACTATTAAGTATTTTTACAAACAGTAATCGTTATGTAATTATAAATTAAAGGGTCCTATCACTGGATAGATTCCCTTATCACGTTTTATTGATGTCTTTGTTTATGTTGTTTTGCAAATTTGCTTATTGTGCTAATTTGCACAGATTGTAAATGTTATATTTTTTTCTAAATAAAAAAAAAAAAATTATAAATTACAAAAGTAGCTAGAAGGTATAGAAATAAATTATCTACCTTTATAGGTAAAATTAATATGAAATTTAAAATTCAACATTTAAAAGAGAAAAAAAGAGTAAAAACCTAATAACTTACCACAGATGGTTGGGTGATAAACCAAGCATAATAATCCCAATTTTCCATTTAATAATGTTAATTCAGTTTCTCAAGACTTTTTTGTACTACTTAATTAATGTTTTCTGGCGATACAATCTTGTGTTTCAAGTCAATAATCCCTCTTTTGATTGAAAATTATTTAGTATAGAATTTTTTTTTTTTTTAATATTTCAATGTAAGTATTAAATACCCTAATAAAAGTTTGGAATTAAGTTGTTTTTAGTTATTAAAATATTAAAACGGAGGACAAAAGTATTTATAAATGATAATGCAAAAATATAAATACAAAATAGATGTTATATTTAATCTAATGTTTATTACACTCAAGCAATTTTAACAAATTATTAATGTAAATTACTAAAATGTTCACTTCCAAAAGTATTATCCTAAGAACATAAAGTTAAATAACTTAAAATTTACTCATTCAAATTTTGATTTTTATGTCAACACTTTTTAAAAGTTATCCACTAAATAAATTTCAGTAAAAAGTAGGGAGTATCTCATTTGAAAAACAGAAGTTTGTATTGCCATAGGATATTCCAAGCAGATTATAATACATAAAATCTCAAGATTGGATTTTAAGCATAATTAAAAATTCAAAACAACAGAATTTTAATAACTATATTATTGAAGAAAAATGGGGAATTACTCTGAATAATAAAGGATGTGTAAAATAAGATAATCACTGATCATTTCAGGTTATGGATGAATTCAATAATTATTTCAAACAAACAAAATCAAAATAGTTTTATTACAAATAAAACAAGGATTCTTAAAAATTATAATAACAACTTTGTTTTTAATAAAATAAACATTAAATAAAATGCCAGAATCAATAACTCAAATCAATTAATAATATGTATTACCATTGATTATTAACAGTATTTCATCACCAACATAGTATTAAGCATTCAAAATATATCTTAAGGAATGTATTGCAAACAAATATAGGTACACAAGTATAATATATAAACATGATACAACTAACTTTAACTCTTTTGTTAAAATATACTTCATATATTTTTTTATAATATTTAAAAAAATTAATTTTTTTAAGAGCACCTAATATTATATCTGTGAATCATTAACAGCACATTTAAAACATAATTTCATTGAATTCTTTCGAGTAGCTTGTTCATTTATTTATACCAGATCCTTTATCCGTTGATGGTAAGACAAATTGGTCCCCAATACATATTTCATGCAATATAAATAACAAAAAAAAAAAACATATGAAACAGATAATAAGTAACATAACTGTTACAAATAATAGTTAAGGTGATTACTAAATAATAATTACTGTGATAATTGAGCAAAAAATTATAACTGACATTTTTTTGACACTAAGTTCTAAATTTTGGCACCAATTCAATAAAAAAAATTCTAATTTTTAAAAAAAAAATTATAATTAACAATTTTTGGTATTTTATATATATATATATATACTAATTACAATAATTATGTTTTTAACAATTTGTAATGATTGATTACATATATAAAACAAGATTTTAAGTACATAATCTTAAAAATATATTTAATCAATGACACAGATCTTAGTAAATTAAGTATCTTACTAAATAAAAAATAACCATTTTCAACAAAATTCTGGTTTATGCAATTTTCAAACATAAGTTAAGAAAATAAAGTATCCTAGTTTCAGCTATTAAATTAGATATGCTTTATTGTTGTAATTTATAACATAAAAATTGAAAATTGATACTTTAATAACAGAAGTTTAATATTTTTTAATCTGAAAGTAGCATTATAATAAAGCGTTAACTATTTAGTATTTGAATTTATATTATTAATTTCAGATAACCACCAAAAAAAAAAAATCTACATATACATTAAATTATGAAAAATAACTAATTTAAAACAATACTAATAATACATTAGAATAAAACACAAAAATACTTTGTAATATATGTTGAAATATTTAACTCAATTTAAGTACATCTCATGAGATCTTCTCTTGACATAACTACAAACATTGAAATATTTTTATTTTTTATTTATTAAGATACTTTATTATAATAACTATAAGTCTCAACAATAAATTTAAATTGTAAAATTAATACTTATGTTAGGAACAAGTATGCAACAAAAAAGCAAGGATTAAAACTAATTTAATACAAATTATTAGTATTAAGTTAAATACGAGAAAAATTTAAACTTAAATTTTTTTAAACAATATTAGTACATTTTTCTTCAAAATTAAATAGTTATAGCTTACAACAATGATAACTATACATTTTTTAATAATTTAACTATTACTCAAAATTAATTTTGATTTTAACTTTAATCCTTGCTTTTATGACTGTATTAAAATATTATAGTGTTATACATATAAACAAGAAATTCATTTGAAAATGGATTTAATATTTTATGAAAATGATATTAAAATTGAGAGTACTTTTTTGAAATGTTAATTTATTATGATGATCACTTCAAAATTAAAATCTACCACAGCCTATTATTATTTAATTATCTTGATTTTATTACTTCATTCATTGAATTAAAAAATCATATTAAGAACTATTGAAATAATTTATAATATAATATTTGAACTATGATTGATAATTATATAAGAAAAAATGAACAAAAGCCAAAAAGTTTTTCATAAACAAGACAATACAAAAAAATATTTACTAAGAGGTACACATTTTTTTGGAATGCAAACATTTAATAACCAAAATAAAATACATTTATATTTGTTTATGACTGAAAAACAAAAATTATTGCTAAACTGATAACCAACATAACATATATTATTATTATTTAGTTTAATAGACATTAAATATTAAAATATTTCAAGTGATTTCACTCATTGATTTGGCTAGGAATATAACATAAATTAATTAAAGAAATAACTAGTACTTGTAATTGGCGCATTTGAGTAATGGTAAAATATCTTATCTTTAAACATAATTTAAATAAATTCATTAATTTAAAAAAAATTCAATTGACTATTTTAATTTCATAATAAATAAATATTTAATAGGTAAAAAATGAAAAAATAGCATCGAAGAACTAAAACTATCATTTAAAGTTAATTTAACTGCATTTTTATTTATTTTATTTTTTACCCTGCCACTACATTGTTTATCTGAAACAATGATTTCAAGATGTATCTTAAATTTTTACTTTTTTCACAAATATCTCGTACATTTAATCAATTGAATTTCTTATTTTTAAGCTATAAGTAAACAGAATCTGTGTATTGTTAATAATATTTTTTTTAAATATTACTATTAAATAAATATACATGGTAATAAAATATTTTTTAAATGAAAAGAGATATTGATAAAATAATAACTAATATTAAATTATAAATAACAATATAATAGTAAATATATATGTACATTTCACAAATTATATCTTTATTTAAAATGTATGTAATTAATTAGTAAAACATTAAAATGATAATTATACTATACACTATATAAAACTTGGTTGGTATATGTCATATGTCTATAAATATATCACTTGAAACTTTTTATATTAAACATCCCTTAAAGATAATTTGTAGCGCTTCATAGTTCACACTATATAATTAGGTACCTAAGTATCTAAAATAAAATTATATTATAATTTATACATACACATTGTTTTATAACTTTCATTTTTAAAATCAGCCTTTTTTTAAAAAAAAACCTACATAATACATTCTAAAATAAAAATAAAATAATAACAAATAACTTTTTTACATGCTACATTATCACAATTCATTATTCAATCTTCAAGAAAATTATTATATAATATTATATTTATTTAGTTATTACCAACATTTACGTCAAGTCCAAAGTTGGTTGAAGATGAAATAACAGTATCATCTGGTTGTAAAATAATATTCCAAAAATTTCTCATTGACTGATCTGCTTTAGTTAATAAGCAAAATAAAAACTTGCGACTAATATTTTTATCGTCCTGTAGATCAGATTCATCCACTGCTAATTTTCCTAAATCTGTTTGAGTGATATTTTGTTTAACTGCTATTGTACCAGTTATGTGAACATCATCAATCCAAAAGTATGGAGTCACTTGTGCTTCTGTGTAAAGTTTATAAATTACATCTGGCGAATAAATTATTGCCCAGCCTCTACAATAAATTGGATACCAACGATCTGGATATTCAGAATATGAAACTCTCCATTTAGATCTATATGAACGTTTTACCATGCTTGATAACATGAGTTGGCACATAAGCAAATTTCGCGCTCCTAAAGGTGATAATCTATGATTGAGTATTTCCAATAAATATGGTGCATTAACCAACGTATCATCATCAGTTTTGAGCAAATACCTGGCACAAGGACAATAGTACAAAGTCCATTTTAATACCATCACATGTTTATAAGTTAAATTACGGTAACAATCTAAAAAGTCCCCTTGCACAATATCACTGTACAATTCATTTTCTAAGATAACATTGTTTTGAGTAATGTTTGAATCTGGGAGACCCATGAAAAATAATGTTGGTATCATCTTTGCCCATGTATCTCTAATAGCCTGACGTTTGGCATAATGTCCTGGTGCAGTATGGACTAAAGCCACTACCAATTTAGTATTGTTATTGCATACCTTTTGGTTTATATTGAAATTAAAAGATGGCAGATCGATCAAGGAGTGAAGATCTGTATCTGATAAAGAATGTAACTCAAATGGTTTTGAAGTAACATTTTCTATTGTAAGTATACGATATTCGACATGGCCAGCATGTGATTCGTTGATATTGACTATTTTGTTCCATACTGACCACAAAGAAAATGTGATTAATGTAAGGCTGCCAAGCGATAAAATTGAAGAATACAATCGTCCTATCATGGCATTTCTTCTAACTATTGACTGTTCTGAAACATAAAATAATAAAATATTTTAATATTTAAGATATTTTAATTTTAAATAAAATGTATGAACATTTATAGAAAGTAAATTGTACAAATGAAACAAATAACAAAGTAATACACAAGAAAAATACTCATAATATTTTAACAAAAGTAAACACATAAATTATGATAAAAAATGTATAATATTTAATTATAATAAATCAAAAGCAACGCTAATTTAAATGCAAAATACTTCCACTACTCTTCAAGAATTTTATAAAAGAAAAAATGGAAAATTGCTATGCTGTAAAAGGTTTCAAGTGTACCTTGGTCATTAAAAAGGTCATTATAATATATTATTGTGTGTTAAATTAATTGAACTCAGTAATAAATCATTGTATATGAAAAACGATTCTGAGTGGAGACTGGTCCATCAACCTACCTTGATAGATATTTTATTAAATTACTATTAATTTTGTTATAAGTAATAACAGTAGATTCAATTTATTAATATAATATATATTTATATCATTTTAATATACATTATTTGCTAATAAATTTTGAGATAATACCCACTAACCATAAAACAGTGAGAATTGGTTTATGATAATTAGGCAATAACTTAGAAATTAATTCAAATATTTTAAAATGTCATTGTGTATAGTAAAATATAATAATTGATAAAATATGTAAAAGTTTCAAGTCCCATGTTTAAATATCCAATTATGAAAATAAATTAATTTTCTATAAAAAAAATTGTACAAGAATCTTATATTATTTTTAAGTCTTAACTAATTATTAACTATAAAATTGTACATGTTTGTGATTTTGATGAGACTAATCAAAATTTGAAAATCAATTACTCATGAAAAATATATGTAGTTTTAAAAAAATTTTATACAAGTTACTTTTTTTTTAATTTCTAGCAAATGATTTATTGAGAAATCTTGTATTAAATTTTCAAATATTAGATGATAAAATTAAAAATTTTATGCACTTTTGATTTTAAATATTAAAAAAAATTCTGGTTATGATATTGATAATTTTAATTGAGATAAATAACTTATGAGAAATTTATACTAAATATTAAAAACAAAAAATTATCATACATGATACATAAATCGAAAAAACTAAAAAAGATGGACAATTTAAAATATTTACAAATAGCACAACATAAACAGTCAAGATATTTTGAAAACTTAATCTTGTCTTTGAAATACTATCTATTTATATGATATAAATGAAAACGCATGTTCTCTGAAACTACTCACTCAATTATCTTGATTTTTTTAATGAAAGAATACATTACCAGAGTAGGTTTTAAGCCTAGTTCTGATTCTATAAGTTAATGAAAAATTTGTTAAATAATCGTGAAATAGACACATAAAAATATATTTTTTTCATCCGTGTTAATGTATTACCAATTATTAGTTGTGGTTAGAAATTAATATTTCAAGAAAAGTTTAATTTAGTATAATGTAGAAAACTTTTTCCTTTTTTTTTTTGGTTCACACTATTGATACTTAATGAATTGTTGATTTTTTAGTCCAGAATGAAAAGAAAATCAAATTTGGGTAATTCAGAAAAAAAAGAGAGAAAAATAATTTTTAAAAAATGCTGCTCAGTCTTGGATAGTTGTTATGTCCATATGCAATAACGTTCGATCCGTCATAATTAAAATATTAATTCTGAGCATTTGATATTTCGCAATCAAAAATAATTTTACTGTAACTATCTGAAACGTCTTTTTACGGCACACCCCACACACTCAGGATGGCTAGCCCTTTTAGAAATTTTTTAGCATAACATTAATCAGTTAGAAAAACAAAAATATTATATCCACTTATACGTACACTTCAGTATGATCGAGAAATATGTCTTATCGCATTCTACATCTTATCGCTCAACGCAAGACCTCATTACATATTTGATAATTAAAACTATTGCTATCTACAATTAATATGCCTAATAATACAAATGATATGCCTAAAAAGTCATAAGTCCGTTCATTAACCAAATGTCATACATACAGAGAGTGCGAAATGAATCTTCAGACTTTTCACTAGAAGGCTACTCCGATAGTTGGATTACTCAAAATAATCAAAAACATCAATATTCGAATTATCAATCACCGAATGAGACCAAACAATTCGTAACATCAAGTTGCTTCTCTCTATTCAGCTACTCAATTTTGATAATCAAAACAAATGATTCTTCTGAAGTCAATGTTGACAATTCAAACAGAGACACTCTAAATCAGCGGTTCTCAAACTGTGGTACGCGTACCACTAGTGGTACGCGAAAGACTACATGATGGTACGCGGAACTGCGGAAGGCCGCATGGTGGTAGGATTTGTAATCATCAGTGGTACGCGACTGATTGATAATATACTTAAGTGGTACGCGAAATAAAAAGTTTGAGAACCGCTGCTCTAAATCCTACAGAAAGCAAACCTTTCCCACCAATCTATAATAACTTAGTAAATAACTTTAAATCGTTCTGCTCTAAAATCCATAAAACAAAAGTCAAGACGTTTTTTGCACACGATTCCTCCTTGAGATATAATAAAAGTATTATTTTACCAAGGCACATCGCTAAAAACGTAACAAACATTTTACAATATAACACTAAAATCCGCTTCCTTTTTTTTTTTTGTAAATCTTGAACCGGCTATTAATAACAAGGATATTTTTCAAATTGAATCTCTACATTTAATTAAAATAGAAGAACCTCGGATCAAAATCAACTAATTCAATGCCTTTGATGCCAATATAGTCACACAAAAACCTACTGCTGCCATACATCGAAATGTGTACGCTGTGGTAAAATAGTGGTGTCACTAATATCCGGATTCCAATACTACTCGGATATTTTAAACTTGTTGCTTAATTATTAAAAGTTAAAATATTTTCATTTAATTTGTAGGTTTTAGACTATGTTTTACAGTCGGTACAACTTAAAAATTAAAAATAATAGTTTGACGTAATAATTTTACATATCTAGAAAATTTGAATTATTCGAATTACACAGATTATTCGGTTATTAAATTTTGGATACGGATATCTAAAATTCAAATTTTTGACATCACCAATGGTGAACATTACCAATCATATTCCTATCATAAACCTACCGATTAATCTACCAAGTATATTCTTTGTCAGAAAATTCATTCAATAAATTATCGAGGATGTCCCAAGTATGAGGAAATTCTATCTTCTTGTAATCTCAAAAAAAATCAAAGTACTTCATATTCTTTTCAAAACGCCACAAATAATGCACCTACACAGTCTATTAATGTAAACACTACTTCAAATTTAAATTTTCAATCCAAATAATATGATCAAGCAACCAAAGATCCCGTTATACCTTCCCACACATCCAGCATTAGTAACTCTGAACAATTATCACTTAAATTTCTTCTATCCTGGATGATTTTAAACATTAATTAATTTCTAAATCTATTTACTAACCCCATCATCAATATATCCCTAACTCAATCAAATTTTAAATAATTCAAATATCCATTCTCTTATAGAATGCCTATGGACTAAATCAACAAATGAATAAACTCAAAGTTTTCCTACACATCACTTATATTATCCTTATCAGTGAAGCATGTCTCACTTTTAAACTCCTCATTCAAACTTCCTGAATTAATATATAAAGATTCTAAATTTTCTTAAAAAAAATGTTGCTCTTAAATTGTCAAAAAAAAAAAAACAACGCTAAGCGGGAGCGAACTATGTGAAGTTGAATGTCAGAAATATCACGTATACATAACGTAACCATACGTCCCGTTTTGGGCGGGACAGTCCTGTTTTCGAGCTTATGTCCCGCTGTCCTCAAAAAACCTAAAAAAGTCCCGATTTAAGAAAATTTGACTTTTGGTTGATCACAAATCACAATCATAAATTTATACTGTATACGAATACCTACATATATATATACATACTGTAAAACACTTAAACTCATAGTCCATAGATGAAAATGACCACTGTACTCTATTATTACATTATTATTTATTTTTATTATTATTACAATTAATATAATAGCTGTGTTTTTCCGTTTTCGTTTTTTAAATAAATAATAAATGTTAATTCCAATAAAAAAATTGTTATTTTACACAAAGTTATAAGATTTTCTAATTAAAATGTTACAAATTATGGTCACTTTACCCATACAGTATACATCAAATCAGAAACCAAAAATATTATTTATCCACACGCATTACACTAATTTTTAACATTGGGCAACCAAATTTAACACGGATGGTATTTTGTACGGGTAACGAAGTACACAGGGATAACTAGTTATAAATATATTTAGTGTATATTTCAAAAAAAAAAAAAAAAACTAAATCAATATTGTTAAAAACTAGTTTTGCATAAAAAATTGCATTTTTTCATAACTAGTTTTGCATAAAAAATGACATTTTTCCATAAACTTTTTTTAAAACTTTAATTTAAACTAACCTCCTACCAAGTCTTTTATGTTCAGAATTTAAAATGTCAAGTTATAATAATTTTTTTTATTAATTCTTTTGAAATCACAAAATGTTAATTTAATATCAGGAAATAACAACTTATTGTAAAAGATACTTCTACTGAAAATATATCATAATACTTACATCATTCAGTTTTAATTCTTCAATTATCTTCAGGAAGTTAATATTAATAGTATTCTTAACCTAGGACCTAAAAAAAAAAAAATAGGAATTAGAAAAAATATATGAAGTAAAATTGTTAATAAATACTAAATATAGTAACACATATTATAAATTTCAAACAATAATAGGTTATAGTAATACGTAATAAATCATCAAAATAAAATAATTTTAGGAATGTATTTTCTTTGCGGTCTATGAAACTAGCATTAAAAAAATATAAACAATGCCATTTAATACTGATTATATCATTAGTTTTTTGTAGTGTTTTGTGATGGAACATGAGCATGATTTATGTCATGGTTAGTGTCATTGAATAATTTTCAGAATGACTACTGTTCCATATCTAGTTTTAAATTACTTTCACCAACTAACTTCTTTAAATCTACTATTCTTATTTAATTTAATTCATCACAACCAATACTTTTAACTTGGCCAGACTGTTCACTATTTTTTTAATATATAATAATACGTTCTGGTTCAATGAGCCAAGCTAATGTATATTTTATACAAATACTTATTTATTATAAATATACTTTTTTAAGACAATTTTTATTCTAAATTCTCAAGTTCTTACTACTCAAATCTTATATTTTTTTTTAATTATCTAAATAACTTTGTATTTAAATGAAACATTATTTATTAAATAACTTATTATTAAGAGGTATTTGTTAGTTAAAACTATTATCGTGACACATTTATTAATTAAAATTAATATTATATGACCTTGATAACAAAATTTTTTTTATGATAAATCAATTATGTTATAGAATTCTAATAAGCTAGAAATGGATATAAATAATTGATGATATAGTGTAAATAGAGGGAGTACCACTCTTCCTACAGAGTTGAATTAGAAATAACTAATAAGTATGTCCTAGAATTCCACATAAATAAAATTATTAATAACCAATGTATATGTAAAGGATTAAATCAATATTAAAGGAACACTGTATTTTATATTAAGTATCTCTTCTGTACGTGATAAAAATTTAAATAAAAATAAATATATGAAAGTCATAAATAGATAATGCAATCAATAGGTATAACAGAACTAATTACTTATCTAATTAAATCTATTCCAATGTGCTTAAGGTAGCATATAATTGTATATCTAAAACGTAAATCACTAGTAATTATTAGCTAGAGATAAGCTAAAACTTACTCCTAAAGGTATTGCAGCTTAGAACTTATAAAGAAAAAATAAAAATATACTTGTTTTGTACTAGAAAAAGTTACAAGAAAAAAATTTTTATACAATAAACACTTAATAGAATTATAAAATTCTTGAAATCAATTAATTTTCTAAAGTTATTATTAATATAGTCATAAAACTTAATATATTACCATACCTGTCAACATATAGTTTTTAAAATAAAGCAATAGTCAATTTACAATTCAAAAACTGACATTTTAAAATCGATTGAAGTAGGTAGGTATTACCATTATTTATATTATGTAATCACAATAATTTATGCACTGAAGAATAGGGTTGAAATAATGTCTATATGATGTTGCCACAAAGTCCCTTGAAATATTGATGACTTAGTTTCCTAAGTAGTTATACCCATAGTTATTTTGCTTCAAGGACAAAATACAAGGATATTATAATTTTTTTTTTTATGTTTTATACAAATAAATGTTTTAATTATTATGTAGGTATATAACCTGGCATATATTATATAATATTAACATAGTAACATACAGTATGTATCTAACTAAAACAAACATTTAATGTCGAGTGGGAACTCTATCAATAACTTGAACCATTAAATTTAAGCATTTATACCTTCAATATAATGTATGATTCATGAACCTAAAATTGCATTGTAATATTTGAATTAAATAAATTGAGACTTAATTTTAAAACAATAACCATTTTATTATTAACTGTATTAAGTACCAATTAAATAAAAAAAATTTTATTTTTATTTATTTAACTTTACAAAAATTAGGTAGGTACCCTAAATAAAATAAGACAAGAAAAATTAAAAGTTTAAATCTAAGGTTTTAAAAATACAGGATGTAAAACATTCTGGTCTCGATGATCTAATAAATGTCACAGTAGGTTTAATCTTTATAAATTATTATATTTAAAGAATTAAGTAGGTAGATAATTAAAAAATGTTGTAAGTTCTTTTATTTTAAAAACTTACAAAAAATAACAAAAATATGCAAAACTAATTGATATTATAATGAAAAAATAGAATAAAACAATAATTTTTAGGACTACAGAAAAAGTGATTAGTTTGATTGGTACTCGCATAGAGCATTTTTAAGCCCAATATACCCATAAATAAACAAAAATATTGATTTTATACATAAATATGAAGCTTAAATACACTTTAACTTACATTAAAACACTAATTTTATTATTTTAGTGTAGAAAACAAAAAAAAAACAGAATAATTATAAACAAATTAATCTTAAAAATTATTGAAAGGAAGTTTAGATAAGAACACTTATAGTTTTCTTGCACTAAAATAATTTTAGGCATTTAAATTTATAAAACATACACAAGTAAAATAAATAAGCTATAAATTAATATTAATTTAGTAAATGATTTAAAAATAAATTATTTAAGTACCAACATACCTCACAATAAAAACTAATAATTGATTAAAAATTAAAATAAATTAATATTATTTTTATAATGTTTCAAAATATTCTAAGTTAAGCTTAAGAAATTAAATATTCTCAATTATACAAACAAGATTTTCTTGTGAATACAATTAAATACTGTTAAAAGTGAAGTTTAGAACATCATTTTCATTTTTCACTCTAATGAAGCAAATAAACAAATATCAAGACACTAATAATCTTATAGCCAAGTAACTGTAAGTGGTATATTATGTAAATATTTAGGAATATGCAAGGACAGATAGGTCTAGAAGGAAATAAAAATTTTTCAAATGGGTCAAAACTGTTTTGGCTCCAAAGGAACACTTTTTTTATGATCTTTATTTAAAATAATTTAAGTTTAGTCTATAAAAAAAGATTATCTCTTACTTAATTTAAAAAAATGATAATTTATTTTCTAATTAGGTAATGTTTTTCACACCACAATAAATAGTTTATTCATTAAATTTGGAAAAAAACTATCAGTGTGAAATAATCTAATCTAGAGACAATGTCTAGTTATTTAGTCAATATATAACAAAAAATAACAATAACTGATATAATACAATAGGCGATGGACGAGGATTTGTACATAATAGTGAGTCATTCCTAAAAACTATTAATATCTACAAGCATCTAATGAAATTATTTGTTGAGATGTGACTATATTATTAACGAAATAAATAGATATGTCTTAAAATTAAAACATATAGATAGGTAACTTTAACTGAAAATTAACCATGAACCAGCATCAACATCTGCAACCACACTTGGAGATTATTTTTAATTTTTTACTTAATACCTTAGGAGGTCTCTGGGATGTAGTTTTTTAACTCTTATACGACTCTTTTAAGACAAGTGTATTATCCAGAAAATAAATGTAGGATAGTCTATAATCAAATTATTGGTATGGATGTTTAGTTTTAAATAAAATTTGGCTAACTCATCAGAGCCATAAAAACCGCGGAGTGGACGGTACATTACACTAGGGTCTTTCCTACATTTTAGTTCTAGTAGGGACTCATGCTTAAAATTAAATAAGTAACTATTCTAAAAACAAAATATTTTTTATTAATTGAGTCATATTATGTCAAGTTTATTTTACACGATACAAGTACCATCGTATACCATATACCTACCTATCTAGTATCAACATAACGTAGTATTATATACCTATATTAAATTACTATGTTATTTATACACCGCGGAACATATTTTAATAATTATTAAGACACATTTTTGAAATAATTAAATGTTACTGTCTTACTGATGATAAATTATAATATGCCATCTGTTTCTGTTGTTGTATGTTAGGGCCTATAACTCGGTTAACGATTTGTAAGTTGTACTGTTTGTAGATTAAGTAGTTGTTAATTACTATTATTATTACTATTATTAAGTTTAACTAGTTGTATTCAATATTGCTACATCTTAATACTTGTTATCGTTGTGACTAAAAATAGAATTATTGGGAAAATTATTATTATTATTATTATTATTATTATTATCATCAACACGACGACGCATTAACCATTTATGGTGTATGACGTATCGTTTAAAATTAAAAATTACACCATTGGTAAAAAAAGAAAATCTTAGTAGTAGTGCAAAACAAACAGAAAATCAAGAAAAAATATAGAAATTTCCAAAAAATATATAGCTTTTTTTTGTAATAAACTTCTTCAGATGATTTTAAAGAAGGTACTGTTAAGTTATACTATAAAGTATAAACTATAGAGTCAGATATTTTAATAAGTAATTTTTATTAAGTATTAAGTAGTTGGTACCTACTTAGCTAATGAGCAGTGGATAGTTATCTTAACATATTTTATTAGGTTATTAAAATTAAATTAAAATAAATACATTACATTTATATTATTGTTTATTTATTCATTAAATCGTTAATTTAAACGAGTTACCATTAATAACCTAATAATTTAGGTATACCTAAATTAAATATTTGTTAATGGTAGTATTTTATTTCTCTCCCAATTTGTGATTTTTTAGATGTATCTAAAGGTTCTGAATTGAATGAGCAAAATATATCACTTTCATTGTTTTAGAGTCAAAAGTGTCATTGGTTCTATGGGTAAAATGTAATTCAATATTATAAATATATGAGATAAGCTTAATTGCATTAATTTATTAATTAAGTGTTTAAAGTTATTAATTCAAATATATTGTATGAATTTAAAACATCAAACATGCTTATTGTAAAAATTTTTTTTAGATTGTATGTGTTTAAATTAATTATGTAGTATAGCATATATAATATTAAAGATGTGTCTTAAGACTGAATGGAACAAAAAAGTATTATTTTATTTTAATCAAGAATTAAAATGAGCAAGAGAATGTAAAATGAAAAAAAAAAATAATAATTTTACTAATGCTAAAGCCAGAATAAAAATGTTATTGTATTAGAATAATTAAATCAGTATTATATTACTTAAGATATTAAATTAGGTACCTTACTTATTATGAACTTTTATGCATTTACTTATATTATTTGTACTATAATCAATACGTCATATCAAGGTGATTTACTGGTATGTATTGCTTTATTTTATGTTAAGATTAAAACATATTAATAGAAAATAATGAGCCCAAAGATTAAACTTGCATCGGGGCTCATCTAATTCTAGTTATGGCACTATTAATTATTGAATGCAAATAGTTTTAGTTGTTTAAATGGTGAACATTAAAATTAGGCATTAAAAAATGTACCTATGACATGAATAATATGCAGATATTTATACTTTATGTTAAGGTAAAATGAAAGTATGTGATAATTTTCTATTAAAATGTTATTAAAAAAAAACAATATTTAATGAATAATGTGTCAAAAACCTATACTCGAATATATTTTAAATTTACATTAATAATTATAATAAGTTTTCAAAAACAAAAGATAAGTTATTAATGATAAGCCATCAAAGAAAACAACAACTTGACATGATAACATTTAGTTAAAAAATCTAAGTAACATAATAATCATTCATATTTCATGATAATTTAAATTAAAAAGTGTCCATAATAATATTGATAAAATTGTTATTATACAATTAAGGAATCAATGTATTTCAAATAGATAACTTTTAAAACTATTAAAAATTTAGTTACTTTGCATTAAACTAAATAACCACTAGCTAGATACCATAAAATTAAAATTATCCAAATTTGATGAGCGTTTTCACAGTGAAGGTTAACAACAATAAATCAGTAATTTCACATTGTTGTTTATCAGTGAACTAAACAGCATTGAACCTACTAAAAATTAGGATGAGCTTTTACATTAAAATAAATAGACAATTATTTAAGTCTATACAATTCATTAAAAAAATAATTATAAATAAAAATTACACAATTTTTTCAAAGTGTTGTTTGAAATCAACAGTGAAACGACATCAATAACAACAATGTTTTCCTGTTTAACAAACTATGGTATTATATTCAGATCAGCAATGACATAAATTTTATGAAATGATTAAGATATTTCTACTTGTAAGTATTTGAAAAACGTATAATTCAGGATTTTTGGAATTATGCCCTTTAGTTTTAGTATGATAATCGTACGACTAGTTCGCAACTATTCTATGAATACTTCACGACTTAATAGCTGAAAACAACTTTTAAAGAGAAAAATAATAATAATCGCAAATGTGCCTATCACGGAGGGATGTTGGATATGGGGTGGCGATTAAAACAATTGTCCGACGTGGCGTATGTCACCACGTCGCCAGTATTACTTACCGTCCAAGGACTAGTGGTGGTGGTGGTCATAGTGTCATAGACGATGATCTGTGCGCGGAACGTCAATTTATTTTTTAGCACGTCTTGTCATCAACCGGCTCCGATGGTGCCCGCCACGCAACGGAACACTACTGGGGGTTTACGGCACGTAAGCGAACAGCTTAGCACCGGCGTAGCACTAGGGTCTACAAGTCTATGGACTATGACTAGTGAGCACTGAGCAGAGGCCAGAGACTACAGCCGCGTCTGTGTCGATGACGGTGGTGGTGGTAACGACCGTCGTCGGCGCGCGGTAATATAATATTTAGCAGCGGTCGGCGGCAACGCTAAACAGCCGCAAATCGAACGATCGACGATGCGATGAATACGACGACAGCCGAGATGATAACGATTACGTTCGGTGGAATATCGAGACATTTCCCGCTGGATTAACGGATGACGCAAACGGCCGTTTTTTCGAACCACACTATTTTTAATCGACAGCATTGATTCCGGTTCATATTTCGATAACGGCAACGGATGAGCGATGGCGATAATACGTATTAAATACCGACAATAGAAAAAATAAACTGCCAAAGCCGACGGACCATAACGTATAACGATAACCCAGTCTCAAAGTGTCACGGGACACGGACCACGGAGTGGATGTGCGGGGTGGGGCGGGATAGTATTAAAGACATGGTCGCTGGGTGAGTAGTAGATCGGGGGGGGGGGGGGAGATAGCTTGCAGTAATCATCGGCGAGGTGGTGGTGGCGGCGCTCGCGAGTTGGTAGCCGGTGTCGGTGTGCGCTTGTGTACCGGTACGGAAGTGACCGTGGTATAGGTACGATGGTAGACTAGTGTTTTGATGTACTTCGTTCAGTTACGTATTGCTATTCAAAGAAATACATAAGTAACATAAGGGAACAAAAATAAAAATACATAAAGTAAAATACTAACTAATTCTTGGAAAATTATGATTTTGAAATTTTAAAATACCTACCTACTATGGTCACATTAGTGATTAAAATAATATCTCTACGCATATTATTATATTTAAGATGTAGTATGTTATTAAAAGTAAGCATATACCAATATTGATAATTATTATCAGTTATTACTTTAGGTCAATGTTAGGCACAGAGTTATCTTTATTATACTTTGCTACAACACTAAAAATGTATCCTATTATAAGAGAATATTTTCTAATAGTTTTCTTCTCAGTATGAATTTGATAATAATTTTATTTATATTTTAATGTATATAAATGATAATCAACTAACTATCCCTAATTTTGTTGCGTTATTCTATAAAATCTTTGAGATAATTGCAATCGTAATCATAGCTAATTTCTAAACATAAAATACTAACTTCTATTTTAAAATCATAATAAATAATCCTATTTTATAGTGTTTAACGATGACACCTGTTACAAGTACGTAAAATCTTCACCATTATTTTTAAAGAAATTTTGCAAATATTATTATATACATCAAGTCATACCTATAAATCATAATGATAATCTATAATTCATATATAAATTCAAAAGAGATGAAAATGTACAGTCGTTAGATGATGACCATCAATACAATATTTTCTATATAGATTATAGAGTATGATACATAATGTCATAGTAATAAAAGTCAATTATTCAAGACTATTCTTTATTTATAGCTTTTAGTAGTTTAGTGTAGTGGCAGCTTAGATAAATTGAAAATTAGACACTGTGTCACCGTTTAGCAATTTTTAAACTATAGTATTTAGTGAATTCAAATGCAACATTAAAACCCAATAAGTTGACCAGTAAGAAATAAAAATGTATTTTTAATGTTAAAAACTTTTGATGAAATTACTATGTTGTTTTTTTAAGGCGTTTATTATATAACGAGTTATCTACGCGCAGTAGTGTTACATAATATAATATATTTATATTTTGATGTGTCTGAGGTAGTTTTTATGTTATGCGTAAAATTTATCGACTTTTATTATTATAGTAAAAATAATGAAATTTGTGAATAATTATTATATA